AGTGGAAGGCTGAAGTCTGAGGGGGTGGGGTGAGTGCAGAACTAGGCAGAAGCAGAATGCTGAAAAGAACTGATTGAAAGCTTTTTGCTTTGTCATTCCTCTCAGTTCCTTTCCTTCTCTTCCTTTCCAATTTGTAATTGTGGACAAGTGTAACCTACTTATTTCCTAGAATGATTGGATCTAGAATGAGCCATAACCTTGAAGGTCATCTGAAACAAACTCCTCTCCACTGCTATTGTTTTCTGCTTGACTCAGAAGATCTTTCTTCCCTGGTGCCTTTCCCAGCAGCATTTGGGCCCATCCATTACAAGTGCAGCGAGTAGAGGTTTTGGAATCAGAGTTCTGGGTCCGAGTTGTGACTCTGTTATTTATTAGATATGATATCCTGAGCAAGTTACCCAATATCTCTTCTGTAAATGGTTATCATCAAAATGAATTTGTAGGAGTTTGAGGATTAATAATGTGTATAGTATACACAAAATCTAGCATTCAGAGCTAAATTAAGATCAGCTAAGCAGTTCAATAGGAACTAGGACCCATGCTTCCTGTTTGACTCTGAGGCAACACTTTCTTTTCCATGGAAAGACACTGTCTTTCTTACAATGTCTCATAAAACCTTTGAAAAAGTCTCTGTTGCTGGAATACTGTGTGTACTGCCTTGTAGATTAATAACAATACCTCACATATATTCGATGCTCTAGAATTGACAGTGCACTTTCACAAGCGGGGAAAATACCCACGCCAACACTGAGTCTCCCGATGACTAATAGAGGCAGGAAGCAGGAGGAGCAGAGGCTTTGAAGAGGTCTATTAGCGATGCAAATGTGAAGTTATCTGCACTTGTGAGGAGCATAACAAACATCAAAACCAATTAGAAGTAACAATGTATGATCTATTCAGGCTTCAGGACTTTGATGAGTTGGAAGTTTTGGGGTTTAACAATCCAGATGGTTCTGATAGCTTTAAGTTTTGCCTCCAAGAGGGCAGCTATCTGCATATGGGTGAATTTTCACGTACCAACTAGAGTACAGCAACGACATAGAATCACACCCGGATAGAAACAGGGACGTGTTCACAATTTGGAGACAAAGCATATGGAACCGAGAGAGGCAAAGCAAATAAGTTCTCAGAAGTCAATGTTAAATGGGTGTTTCAATACAGGCAAATGTGTCATACCGAATGCAAAACTTTTAATAATAGAAACTGTTATCTTAACTTTCTCACAACCTTTGGAAATAGTTCCTCATGTGTGAGAATTTTTACATTTGGACGATGCTCAAAAGTGAATTTTTAGAAATGGAGAAAAAAAATGAAGGGTGCATTTAAACAATATATTCCATTGTTTCTGTATTGTAAGAAGATGAAATAATACACCTTTTACTGCTGGAAAGAAAATGGTCCGTTTGAAATTCAGCTCTCTCAGAAGATGAATTTTTAAGTATCAAACTCTGCCTAACCAACTGCTGTCCTAGCTTTATGGATGTGAGGGGTAAATTAGAATTTCATGCAGTTATCAAATATTTTAAACTAATACCAAGCAGTTACATTTGCAACACTTCATGATTTCTTAACATCTATAGACAAAATTCCAAATAGGTCTTTCCCTTTTCTTTCTGTGCCAAAATCTACACTTCCGTCTAGCAGCAAACCCTGAGAAGGAAGCTGTAGGTAGGTTAAGAGAGAGAAAGACTGACCAGGCAAGCAGAAGACACTGGTGGAAATGGCCCTGCTGCGCAGCCATGTGGAATAGGAAGGCTATGCTGGACAGAGCCCAAAAGAGACCAGTTTGTGTCTCACAGTCCAAATTTGGTTGATGTATTTTTGAAGCTTCTAAAGGTTAACTCACATGCTGTAATACATTATAGAAAGACACGAAGCTGAATTTTACTGTGCCAGTCAAGAGGCTGGCTTGAATCCGCTATTTAGAACTGAGAGAGACAGTACAATTTACATGTGTGAGAATGTGAGAATAATTTTACCTTCTGTTGTTTTTAAAACCACCTTGGGCCATGATTTTTAAATGGAGACACAAGGAGATCTGCTGGGGTTCCCATAGCAACATTAACTTATCTAAACTACCCTTATTGTATGTAATACTTTCATGACTAGTTTGGCTTGTTAATGTACACTTTAATTATGAAATACAACTGAGTTAAGAGTCTTGGACAAATTTTAACATTTATATTTACTGACTTATCCATGTTTCAACAGAAAGCTTGATAACTGTACTTTTGCGGACTTGCCATCAAGGCAAGTTTGTGGAAAAACCTTTATGTGCTCTTCCTTGCCATTGATCTCTGACCTCACTCCATTCCATTCTATAGACAACTCCTCAACCTCTCTCAATACATTTATAAGACACCATGTCTAGGATAAAGCAAAAACAAACTGATCTCAGATGGCTCCAGTTCAGAGACGAGAAGTCAATATACCTGCTATTCTAGGTTATCAACAAGATGACCCCCTCCCCGTCTTTTCTACCTATTCCTCATCATTAATATCCCACACCACACTTGTTTTCTCACCATCTGCTGAGAACGTAGACTCAAGAACTAGCCTAAACCTACCTCCCCCAAGAAACCTGATTCTTTTCCATTCTTTTTCAGAGCTGATCTCTCTCACTCTCTCTGGAACCACTATTACTACCGCTACCACTGCTATAGGATGTGTTGGGTGTGACTGGACAGCATCCCTCCCCTGTTTTTTTTTTTGATAGCAGTGTCTTCATTTTCCTTTGAAGAACTTTCTTCCATTCCAGGAAGTGAAATTTCCTTCCATTCCAGGTTGGTGCAATCTCAGCTCACTGCAACCTCTGCCTCCCAGGCTCAAAAGATCCTCCCACCTCAGACTCCTGAGTAGCTGGGACCACAGGTGCGTGCCACTATCCCTGGCTAATTTTTGTATTTTTGGGAGAGACAGGGTTTTCGCCATGTTGCCCATTCTGGTGGCACCATCAATTAAGCTGCCCTGCCCCAGCCTGTTAAGAGATGAACCAATGACTAAAGCTGGACCAATGATATTCTTCTAGAAAATTGGATTTTAAGTGAATTCAGAAAGAAAAAACAGTTGGAACTGAATTATTCCAATGATGGTTCTTTCAAGAGAGTATTCATTTCTTCTAGGTTCTGTGATTCATAATCAAATTCTGCTGTAAGTTCCCTATTTGAGTATTTGTTTGTATATTGTCTTAGATCATGATTTACAGGTTTGGGATATACACATTTTGTTTTGCCAGCTGGACTCTATTTATGCTCCCTGAAGAGCATAAACAAGGCTGGGTCTTTATTGTTTGTATTATTGCATAGAATTCAGCACTCAATATGTAAGTAGTCAATAAATATTATGTAATGAGTACGAGACCAATCTTAAAAACTTCATTTCTACAAAATGTGATTTGCAAGTCAACTTATGTCCTTTTTGAAGCAAGGGAGTAAATAAATTTTTTTTTTTTTGAGACGGAGTCTTGCACTGTCACCCAGGCTGGAGTGCAGTGGTGTGATTGATCTCGGCTCACTGCAACCTCTGCTTCCCGGGTTCAAGTGATTCTCCTGCCTCAGCCTGCCAAGTAGCTGGGATTATAGGTGCCCATCACCACGCCTGACTAATTTTTTTTGTATTTTCAGTAGAGATGGGGTTTTTCAGTGTTGGTCAGGCTGGTTTTGAACTCCTGACCTCGTGATCCGCTTCCTTGGCCTCCCAAAGTGCTGGGATTACAGGCTTGAGTGACTGCGCCTGGCCCTCAAGGGGATAAATACATTTTTAACTGCCACAATTTAAGAATTTTCTTGGGTATGACAGTTGTCTTAAACAGAGCTTACCACTGATACCAGAAAGGGTCTGGATTCAGCCGCCAAGAGAGGATTCTTGGATCTTGTGCAAGAAAGAATTGAGTCCATACAGTAAAGTGAAAACAAGTTTATCAAGAAAGTAAAGAATAGTGGCTCAAGCCTGTAATCCCAGCACTTTGGGAGGCCGAGACCATCCTGGCTAACACGGTGAAAAGCCGTCTCTACTAAAAAATACAAAAACTAGCAGGGCGAGGTGGCAGGCGCCTGCAGTCCCAGCTACTCGGGAGGCTGAGGCAGGAGAATGGCGTGAACCCGGGAGGCGGAGCTTGCAGTGATCTGAGATCCGGCCACTGCACTCCAGCCTGGGCGACAGAGCCAGACTCCGTCTCAAAAAAAAAAAAAAAAAAAAGTAAAGAATAGGCCGGGTATGGTGGCTCACATCTGTAATCCCAGCACTTTGGGAGGCCGAGGCAGGCAGATCATGAGGTCAGGAGATTGAGACCATCCTGGCTAACATGGTGAAACCCCGTCTCTACTAAAAATACAAAAAAAAAAATTAGCCGGGCATGGTGGTGGGCGCCTGTAGTCCCAGCTACTCAGGAGGCTGAGGCAGAAGAATGGCGTGAACCCGGGAGGCAGAGCTGGCAGTGAGCTGAGATCATGTCACAGCACTCCAGTCTGGGTGCCAGAGCGAGACTCCATCTCAAAAAAAAAAAAAAAAGAAAAAGAAAAAGAAAAAAAGTAAAGCTTGGCTACTCCATAGGCAGAGCAGCCCCAAGGGCTACTGGTTGCCCATTTTTATGGTTATTTCTTGATTATATGCTAAACAAGGGATGGATTATTCAGGCCTCCCCTTTGTAGACCATATAGGTAACTTCCTGATGTTGCCATGACATTTGTAAACTGTCATGGCACTGGTGGGAGTGTAGCAGTGAGGATAGCCAGAGGACACTCTCATTGCCATCTTGGTTTTGGTGGCATTTGGCCGGCTTCTTCACTGCAACCTGTTTTATCAGCAAGGTCTGCATGACCTGTATCTTGTATTGACTTCCTATCTCATCCTGTGACTAAGAATGCCTTAACCTCCTGGGATTGCAGCCCAGTAGGTCTCAGCCTCATTTTACACAGTCCCTATTCAAGATGAAGTTGCTCTGGTCAAAAGCCCCTGATACAAGAGCTTGTCAGCTTACATATCTTTTTTTAAAAAATTTTGAGATGAGGTCTTACCCTGTCATTCAGTTTGGAGTGCAGTGGTACAATCTCAGCTCACTGCAACCTCTGCCTCCCAGGCTCAAGTGATCCTCCCACATCAGTCTCCCGAGTAGCTGGGACCACAGGTATGTGCCACTATGCCTGGCTAATTTTTGTATTTTTGGTAGAGACAGGGTTTCGCCATGTCCAGGCTGGTCTCGAACTCCTGACCTGAAGCGATCTGCCTGCCTCAATCTCCCAAAGTGCTGGGATTACAAGTGTGAGCCACTACACCTGGCCTAACAACATGTACATCTAAGAATAGCCTGAAAATAATGTTAGCATGGGTTATACTTCCCCAATTTTAGGAAAGGAAAGAGGAACTAAAATTCGATTTCAGGTGTCAGCCCCTGAATTAAAGAAAAAAAAGTGGGAGAAAATAGACAACAACAAGACAAAAAATAATACACTTTGACTTTGGGCTTGTTGTAGCTTTCCCTGGAAACAAGGTGTGCTTTCTCTCTGCAATCAGATGACAATGGGAAGAGTCAGACTGTGTTTGGGAACTGGTTTTCTAAGCCCAAACAAACAAACAATTTTTTTTACTTGCAAAAAATGTCAAGTTACGATTTCTCAAAATTACCTGACATAATACTAATTTAATTGAATGCTTATAAAATTCAAGAAATAAGCAAAATGGTTAGATGTAATAAATTCAAACAAGCTCGGCATATCAAGTTTTCAAAGCACAGAAAAAGGCACACTGTGCCAAACCACTTACATGTGCTTAAAATGTACAAAGGAGCTCACCTATGACAAAACAGCAGGAAACACAAATTCTCTTCTTTTTTTCTCATTGTCTTTTGAGAAACGAAAGACTTATAGTAGTCCTTGAATAGCAGTCCTCTGGCTTTGTACCTTAACATGTTACAAAGTTCAGTCTTGAGAAAGGAGTGTAGATACCATATTGGAGCTATTCTGAGTCTGGTGCAATGGTTTCTGGAATTTGCCTTGAACCCACACTCGGTGCATTTTCACTTGTTTTTTCCTATTAACTTGTAAGCGGCGATCAACCAGATTTTGCTTTTCATCTAAACTGGCTTTGCAAAACATACTGTGGACTTCCCCTGTGAGACAAAAATGGCAATAAAAGATATGACATGTGACTAGGGATGGGGGAGGTAAGGAATAGAACATTGATGGAGTAACTGACCATCTAAATTTCATTTATACAAGAAACACTCTTTAGAACAATTTGGTGAAGGAAACCAATGAAACCAAGCGAGTTTCTTCTACTTCACAAAAATACACCATGCATATAAAAATACACCTGTTTACAGACTGCCACGGCAGACATCAACAGATATATAAAACTATTGGTTGCAGCTTTCAATATTTTGAAACGTGCTCCCTTTCTGAGTTTTTGTTGGTTTACAAAAACCCAAAATGGCAGATTATAAAAGTACTCACATAAATTTGGGAAAATCCTTGAATGCAGCATTTACTTGGCACTGTCAGAAATGCATTTTTAAAAATGAGAAATTCGTTGGGCATAGTGGCTCATGCCTGTAATCCCAGCACTTTCAGAGGCTGAAGCAGGCAAATCACCTGAGGTCAGGAGTTAGAGACCACCCTGGTGAAACCCCATCTCTAATAAAAATACAAAAATTACCTAGGTATGGAGGTGGGTGCCTGTAATCCCAGCTACTTGGGAGGCTGAGGTGGGAGAATCGTTTGAACTGGAGAAGTGGAGACTGCAGTGAGCTGAGATTGTGCCACTGCACTCCAGCCTAGGCAACAGAGGAAGACTCTATCTCAAAAAAAAAAAAAAAAAAAAAAGAGAAATTAGCTAAAGATGAGTAATTTTCCTTCTTTCTATTTTGAAAATGTACTGTTTTTTTAGACATAAGGTTCATTCTGCTGCCCAGGCTGGAGCACAGTGGTCCAATCATACCTCACTGTAGCCTCATCTGCCCTGGCTCAAGTGATCCTCCCACCTTAGCCTCCCAAGTAGCTGGGACTACAGGTATGCACCACCAGCCCGGCTAATTTAAAAAAATTTGTTTTGTAGAGACAGAGTCTCGTCTAGGCTGGTCTCAAATTCCTGGCTTCAAGCAATCTTCTCACTTTCACCTCCCAAAGTGATGGAATTACAGGTGAGCACCCCTGTGATGGGCCAAGATAAGTAATTTTCTATAAACTTATCAAATGTCCTCCTCTGGTTGTGGTATATCATCAATTTTTTTCATATCTAGGCTAACAATATCTCCAAAATGGAACAGCCTTCACCTTCATCTGGGTATGAGGGTAAAACAAGAGCCTCTTTAAAGCAGTTTCAACTGGAAAAAGATTAAAAAATAAACGGCCATTTTCAACCTTTTATGTAGACCAGTTATAAGCATCAAAGTATGAAGACATCTAATGCTTAATCAATGATAGAAGCCTCAGTTTTATAGCTTCTGAGCTATAATCTATGAGATAATAAAAAACAAGAACAATTATGACCAATCATTTCCTCTTGTAGATTAGCATACCTTTTGTAAAGAAATATGCTCTGGTACCATCTCCTCGAACATAAAAATTTTCAGATAAACAACATTCTGAAAAAAATTGTGAAAAGAGAGACTTTTAAGGGTATTCCTTAAAAAAAAGAAACAACAACTAAATACTTTGATGTGAAATATAATCAAGGCATCTTTAGAACACTTAAAAATAACCTCAAACTGAATATACTATTACCCTTTTTAAAACGAAGCTGAGTCTTATCATATCTTCCATAGTCTCGAAATAACAGCATTCCCCCAGGTTTCAGTAACTTGGACAGTCGGTTTACAACACCTTGCATCCTTTGAAAACAAAGTATTAAAAAGATACCCAGTTTGTGGAAATCTTGTTTTATATGCTAGCTTTAACTTTGTTGAAGACAAAATAAGAAAAGCTTGATAAGGCCAAAGAAATCTAAACCATAAACGTAAGGCTAACAAAAATAAAAATATTTTGTAAAGAAGGAAAAAAGAATACCAACTTGCTAAATGACTAGATTCAAAAGTCCTAGAGTATCAAGAAATCACCCAAATGGCCAGAGTGGTAACTTCACAGAGCTTGATGTATGATGTCAAAGCTAAACTTCAAAACCACAGATGTTTCCTGGTACTTACAGAAAATGAAGGTAGTTCTGAGACAGATAAAAACTGACTGTGCTTCATTTTTCTTGCAAGATAAAAAATATGACAAAGCCATCCCAAGTTGTACATATCTAAAGAGGGAATATCTTTCCTCCAAAATGAGCTCATTCTCCTTTTGACTTCTTTATTTAGTTCAGAGGTACCACCATCATTCACCTCATGAAGAGAAATTATTTTTCTTCCACTATCCTCTCCATTGGCCATAAAATTCTATGTCCTCTTTAATTTTTATTTTTAATGACATCTTTGATATTTCCTGTCTTTTTTGTTTCCCATTGGTACTCCCTTAGTACCAACCTCTATATCCTGAGGCCTGGAAACAAATCTGCTTCCTAACACGCTGTATTATTCTCCCTGTCAATCCTTCCTGCATGTTATCGATGAATAATTCTGTTTAAAATGATAATTTTGTCAAATCATCTCCTTGCTCAAAAACTTTCATGATTTTAATCCATAGGATAAAATTTTAGTATCTTAGTTGAGCTCTTAAGATCTCCTACTACTGACCCCAATTAATCTTTCCAACAGTTTTCCAATCTGAAGCAGCTCCCCTAGCCAAACTGTCATGCTTGGCCCTGAGCAGCCTCTGCCTTTGCTCACATGGTTCTTCCTCAAAGAATTCTCTCCTCCTTACTGTCTGCCTATTTAAATTTTATTCACATTCCAAGCCTAGTTCAACATCAGGGAGCCTTTGCTTTTCTCCTTTACTGTTTATTCTACTTATCTGGCTTTCAGTCAAATGTAATCCCTTATAGCTGCTCTTGATTTAGTGTTTTTCGCTAAGTGTTCATGGCTTTATGTGTGATTATGGGCCAGGGATGGCATAGATTTCAGATCTCATATTCATTCTGAGTGACGGCATTGGCTGCCTACAGAGCTCTGAGAAGGACTCATAAAGCTCATTGGGAGTTACAGAGTACAAAATCGATTATCAATGTCTGCCATGGGCAGAGAATGGTAAATGCAAGCTTGTGTGCTAAGTCCTTGTCTCTGCCTTATCTAAGCTACTTAAAGCTGCTGAGGTTTTCTTATTTGAAAAAAATGAAAAGTTTGAATCAGATAATCTGTAAATTCCTTTCAATTAAGACATTGTTCAGTGGAATAGTGAGGTAAAACTCAGATTATGTCATATTACGAAGGAAGCAGATATTGAGAAAATGAAAGCAACTATAAAATAAGAGAGAAGTAGGACAGAAGGAGGTGGCATGATTAGGTGAAAAGCCCTTTTTAAAGAACTAGAATATAAGGACATAAAAGAAAAAAAGAAACGTATTTTTTGTTTATTTTATTACAGGTTATTTTCACACTGTGCTTATATCGTAGGCTTTGCCAATGAAGGAAAATCATATCTAAACCTTAAAATATTCACTTTCAGGATAAATATTTTATGTACATAGCAAAATCTTTCTGTAATTGTTAGTAAAACAAGCATGAAACTAAAATGCAGAAAAATAAACAAACACTTTAAAATGTAGCCGCCTCCTCCTGCACATCCTTTCCTCTCAGCTATCCTTTAATGTCTGGGGTTGAGGATAAAGGTAAGGAAGGGGAGCTACTTTTCTTGATAATCTCATCTTGGTTCATAGTGCAGCTCCCGATACAATTCCTGAGAACTGCAGGTGGGGGTGGGCTGGGGGTGAGATGGACAAGACAGGAATGGTATGAAGCCCCTTTTCTTTCTTCACCCTACTTGGGCCAACTCTGCTGTCTTCACTTATCTCTGGATAGAGGGAGAGGAAAAGGAAAAGAAGAGACAAAAAATGTATAGACTGCCTGCTTTATGCTTGGCTCTGTAATATTTTATTTTATTTTATTTATTTTTTTTGAGACAGAGTCTCACTCTGTCGCCCAGGCTGGAGTGCAGTGGCTATGATCTCGGCTCACTGCAAGCTCCGCCTCCTGGGTTCACGCCATTCTCCTGCCTCAGCCTCCCGAGTAGCTGGGATTACAGGCTCCTGCCACCACGCCCGGCTAATTTTTTGTATCTTTAGTAGAGACAGGGTTTCACCGTGTTAGCTAGGATGGTCTCGATCTCCTGACCTTGTGATCCGCCTGCCTCAGCCTCCCAAAGTGCTGGGATTAGAGGTGTGAACCACTGCGCCCGGCCAGCTCTGTAATATTGTGTACTTCCATTTCAGTGACAAGAAGGACAACTCACTCTTCTTTTGTAGCCACCTACAATTTATTCCCATTTAAGCTGGGTCCTCCAGACTCAGGATCTAGCCAAACTGCTTGCCACTTACTTGTGCCTGAATTTTCCAAGCTACCAAGATGCTACTTTTCTAGAACTTTTCTGGGGTTGAATCTACTACTATAGTCCTAAGTGACACTATAGACATTGCCTTGCCTTTAGTTTTTTCTTTTTTTGAGACAGGGTCTTACTCACTGTCACCCAGGCTAGAGTACAGTGGCGTGATCTTGGCTCACTGCAACCTCCATCTCCCAGGTTCCAGCGATTCTCCTGCCTCAGCCTCCAGAGTAGCTGGGATCAAAGGCGTGTGGTACCACGCCCAGCTAATTTTTGTATTTTTATTATTTATTTATTTTTTTGAGATGGAGTCTCACTCTGTCTTGCTCAAGGCTGGAATACAGTGGCACGATCTCTGCACAGTGCAGTCTCTGCCTTCCAGTTTCAAGCAATTCTCCTGTCTCAGCCTCGCGAGTAGCTGGGACTACAGGTGTGTGCCACCACACCCGGCTAATTTTGTATTTTTGGTAGAGACGGGGTTTCACTATGTTGGCCAGGCTGGTCTTGAATTCCTGACCTCAGGTGATCCACCTGCCTTGGCCTCCCAAAGTACTGGGATTACAGGCGTGAGCCACAGCACCCAGCCTTTTATTTGTTTTTTGAGACAAGGTCTTGCTTTGTCGCCCAGGCTGGAGTGCAGTGGTGCAATCTTGGCACACTGCAACCTTCACCTCCTGGGTTCAAACGACCCTTCTGCCTCAGCCTCCCCAGTAGCTAGGATCACAGGCCTGTGCCACCACAACCAGCTAATTTTTCTATTTTTAGTAGAGATGGGGGTTTCACCATGTTGGCCAGGCTGGTCTTGGACTCCTGGCCTCAAGTGATCCTCCTGCCTCGGCCTCCCAAAGTGTTGGGATTACAAGTGTGAGCCACTGCTCCTGGCCTGCCTTGCCTTTTTTTTTTTTTTTTTTTTTGAGATGGAGTCTTGCTCTGTTGCCCGGGCCAGTGTGCAGTGGTGTCATCTCGGTTCACTGCAACCTCTGCCTCCTAAGTTCACGCCATTCTCCTGCCTCAGTCTCCCGAGTAGCTGGGACTACAGGCACCCACCACCATGCCCGGCTAATTTTTAAAAATATTTTTAGTAGAGATGGGGTTTCACTGTGGTAGCCAGGATGGTCTCCATCTCCTGACCTCGTGATCCGCTCACCTCAGCCTCCCAGAGTGCTGGGATTACAGGGGTGAGCCACCGTGCCCGGCCCGGCCTGCCTTGCCTTTTAAAAAAATTTACTATTGTCCCTTTTCTATTCATTCACCTTATTTTTCGATCATTTCTATGTAGGTAAGACAGTGGTCACTGTCATGATACATCTAAATTCATTTTATAATAAATAGAATGAAATGCTATATGATAGACACAATCTTCCCAAGGCATCTGCTTTCTCTTCTCTTTTTTTTTTTGAGACAGAGTTTCACTCTCATTGCCTAGACTGAAGTGCAATGGCACAGTCTCAGCTCACTGCAACCTCCACCTCCTGAGTTCAAGCAATTCTCCTGCCTCAGCCTCCCAAGTCGCTGGGATTACAGGCACCCACCACCATGCCTGGCTAATTTTTATATTTTTCAGTAAAGACGACGTTTCACCATGTTGACCAGGCTGGTCTGGAACTCCTGACTTCAGGTGATCCACCCACCTCGGCCTCCCAAAGTGCTGAGATTATAGGCATGAACCACTGCACCCGGCCTTTCTCTTCTCTTTAACATTCAATTCAAATCACGAGAAAATACATTATCTGAACTAATTTCAAATAGTCTTTTTGTGGCTATGTGTAGAATTTAAATGTTTCTTGTTATGGGTATCAAATGGGAAATCTTGTTCTCTATCCGCCTCCTCCATCCTTTTAACTGTTCATATGAGGATACCAAACACATAGATGACATCTTTCTATTAGTACCTGAACAATGCCTACAGTCTAAACAGATTAGCAGAAAGAAATAGGTTATAGAAACTGGGAGGAAACAGTAGCTTCATAAAACCTGACATACCTCACTAGGTGCTAATGTATCTTATTTCAGATTTATTTGGAAATGGAATTTATTCTTCTACAAGTAATCAAAGTGCTCACTTCTCAATGGGAAGTAAAAGAATTATAAAGGTCCTAGTGGCCTTTTAATTGCAAAGAAATAAGCACATGGTGACTCAGTTTCTATGGAAAAAGGTCATCATACTCATCAAACAAAAAGTGGTTGATGCCAAGTCTGTATCTCCTACCAGGAAACTATGAGAACCCAATGTTAAGAAACCTTATGAAAGCACAGACCTGATACTTACCCTTTAATACATAGAAGGTGGCAAGATTTAAGAAAGGTAATCATTTTAATTGCTGGTAATATCTCTTTATGTTTTCTCTCTGGAGAAAAGCTATGTTTATAGTTTTAAAACACTGTATGAAACTTTAAGTCATAAATATTTAAATGATGGCATCAGGCTAACCTTAGATCATAAAGTTCCAAGGATAATCTGGCAAATCTTAATAACTCCTAATTCCCTAGTGTGCTTCTTTAGAACAAAATTTTTAAAGCCCATCAACAGGCCTGTGTGAAGCCAAACAGATCCCAAGCCCACCTCTTCATGAACATTCAGGAAGACACTACACTAAAGATGTTTGTTTCTGATCGCCAAGTACAATTTCCCTCTTGGGAGTCTATTAGATTGTTCTGAATTTGTAATTTCCTTGAAGCACTGTCACTTTTAATAGGTATGTGTCTTGCCAGAATATGCTCACTTCATTCTGACAGTGACAGAAAGCTCATTAATGAAGTAGTCTGACCAGTTTCTGTCTAAAAGTACGAAGAAAGGAAAAACTGCCATTAAAAGGCTCCATATTATACATAATGTCGCTCACTAAATAATAAATTCAAAAATTGTCATTTTTGCTTTGATAGTTCTGAAAACCACTACTGATAAAGGAGCTTTACACATCTGCTTTGCCCTTTCGTCTTCATTTACCTGTCAGGATGAATAGAAGAGAGCACAAAGACAAGGAGAATGACATCCAGGATCCCATCTGGAAAAGGGTAAGGTAAGCCATCATCACATACATCATGAACAAAGGCAAAACACTGGGCTGCTCTGTAGGACGAGTGTGACTGTCATGATAAAGGAACAGAAAGCAAAAAGAGGACTTAGTAGACTTCCGGGTTTTTTTTTTTTTTAATAAAAAGGTCAAAATTTTAACCTTTTCTCCCAAAAGCCTTTCCTCTGTCAATCTGAACACTTTTTTCCAATTCAGTATTGTTAGCTTATTTCCAGCTGCCCTAAAAAAATTAAGGCTAGCTCTTGGCCTTGATAACAAATATCCTTCGCAATCCCTTTTTAACTTTAAAAGTAGAGGAGGGTATTCTGAGTTAGCAGATAGTATTATTAGAGGTCTGCTCTGGGTTGCTGTTTCTGAACTTAAAGAGGTTCTGCTTGGACTACAATTATTCATGGGCAGGTATACATTCTAAATTTTGTAGGTCAGTACCCTTTCTGGTCATTTCTTATGTGCTGTTGGCCTTTCTTTCTTTCTTTCTTTTCTTTCTTTCTCTCTTTCTCTCTGTCTCTCTCTCTCTCTCTCTCTCTCTCTTTCTTTCTTTCTTTTAGACAGATTCTTTCTCTGTCACCAGGCTGGAGTGCAATGGTGTGATCTTGGCTCACTGCAACCTCTGCCTCCCGGGTTCAAGCCATTCTCCTGCTTCAGCCTCCCGAATAGCTGTGACTACAGGCATGTGCCACCACACCCAGCTAATTTTTTTATTTTTAGTAGAGATGGGTTTCACCATGTTGGCCAGCCTGGTCTCAAACTCCTGACCTCAGGTGATCTGCCCACCTCGGCCTCCCAAAGTGCTGGGATTACAGGCATGAGCCACCACGCCCCACCTCTAGTGATCTTAAAATCAAAACAACTTTTATTTTTCTGGGGTAATACCTTAGGCATCAGTTGGTATGATTCCTGGGAGTAGCATACCTTTATGAGCTCCCCAGCTCCAGAAGCAAAATCACAACAATACAGAAAGGACTCTGGAGAGTTCCTATGAAGATGGAAGAAATATTTATTTATTTTTTTGGAGACAAGGTCTTGCTCTGTTCCCCAGGTTGGAGTACAGTAACGCGACCATAGCTCACTATAACCTTGAGCTCTTGGGCTCTAGCGATTGTCCTTCCTCAGCCTCCTGAGTAGCTAGGACTACAGATGTGCCTTACCATGCCCAGCTAATTTTAGATTTTTTTGTAGAGATGGGGTCTCACCATGTTGCCCAGGCTGGTCTTGAACTATTGTTCTCAAATGATCCTCCTGCCTCAGTCTCTCAAACTGTCAGGATCATAGGTGTGAGCCCCTGTGCTCGGCCAGGAGAAATATTTATATCTGGAGTCCAGAAATGCTCAAACTAGAGAAGAAAGGAAACTGTAGGTCTGACTCGTTAATAAGTATTTCCACCCCCACCCCTCAGCTTTTTTTTGAGACAGGGTCTCGCTCTGTCACCCAGGCTGGAGCACAGTGGCACAATCACAGGTCACTGCAGCCTCGACCTCTGGGGCTCAAGTGATTCTCCCGCCTCATCCTCCTGAGTAGCTGGAACTACAGATGCATGCCACTGTGCCTGGCCAATAGGCGATATGATTTTTAATTGGCCTCTTCTTAACTTAAATATGTTCTGTTTGGCCTTTATTTGAAATTCAGTAATGATGGCTGGTTCATGGTTACTAAGGCAGTCATATACTCTGAAATTTGTAGGCCAGTACTCCTCCTGATTATACTGTGTATGCTGGTATCAAATAATCATTGCATCATGTTGCTTAGTACCATGTCTGAACTACAGAAAGAGTTCAGCATGTCATTAAACAGTAAGGATGGTCCTGGCTCTCATGGGTTTTCTAGTCTAGTTGGCAACATAATTGGTTTTATACAACTTCTACAGGGGTGTGGAGAGGGCCAGCACCCTGAGGTATAAGTCTTAAAATTTCTGAAGGAGGAGGTTAATATCGTTAAGTGACAAGAAGGGGAAATGGTTGAAGAGTTTAGAAGTGGGAGTCACATGCAGGGATGAGAAGCAGCACTAATCCTGAGAGCCCAAACTGGTATATGGCAGGATAAAAAGGTGGGCCTTGAAGCATATCATTAAGACTTCTAATCTGACTCAAGAAGCATTCCAAGCAAGGCGAACTTCTAAATAAATATGGAATATAAGCCCAAATATGCATTTAGCAAAATCTGACCCAGGCTCAGGTTATACTCTTTTTTTTATTTTTGAGATGAAGTTTCGCTCTTGTTGCCCAGGCTGGAGTGCAATGGCACGATCTCGGCTCACTGCAGTCTCTGCCTCCTGGGTTCAAGCAATTCTCCTGCCTCGCCTCCCAAGTAGCTGAGATTACAGGCATGCACTACCACAGCCGGCTAATTTTGTATTTTTAGTAGAGATGGGGTTTCACCATGTTGGTAAGGCTGGTCTTAAACTCCTGACCTCAGGTGATCCACCCACCTCGGACTTCCAAAGTGCTGGGATTACAGGAGTGAGCCACTGTGCCTGGCCTCAGATTATATTCTTAAAGGCAACTCATTGATGAATAACTATGTTAACATATAATTCACTCATTCTATGGCACTAGGGATTTGCATTCATTTTAAGATCTATCCAAATAAGTTAAAGTATGATGAATAGGATTTGTTTATGAAAAGCTAACCTGAATCAAAGTTAAATCAAAGTTACTGAATCAAAGTTAAAACTTGTACTGCTTGGTCTTTTCTCATCTGTCAAACAAAAATAGCACTTTACTTCTACATGTTCCCCTGTTGTTTCCTATGAAATCCATGTAATTGTGACTTGTAATTTGCTGGGTGGTTTGAAATATATTTGAAATGTTATCAGCAAACACTCAGATACATGTAGCACTATGTGGCTAAAGGTTAAGGGCAAGGGCTTTGGAACCAGACTGCCTAAGGTTTGATTCTCAGCTTTACTACTTAGTTGCGTGACCTTGGGCTAGTTGCTTAATCTCTTCTTTAATTCAGTCCCCTCATCTTTAAAAAAGAGATAAACATGGCATCTAAGATGGTTGTTTGAAGTGAATGGATTCTTATAGCTAAAGTTTCCAGAAAGGTGTCTGACTCAGAGTAAGCACTCAATAAATGTTAGTCATTATTATAATTGTTGTTGCTATTATTATCGTCACTATTATTATTAAAGGAGATTGCTTTTGCCTTCCAGGAACTTAAACACTAACATAGTCCTCTAAAACAAAACAAAACAAAACAAAACCCAAAAAACTTCCATATAGCTCAAAATGCTTTTCTGGACACTGGTATGTCTAGCTCATTATAAAAGGTTTGCAGTCTACCTGTGGGCAGTAAAAAACCGAATACCCATAAGATATAGAACAGTCTAGGAGCTAAAGGAAAGCATGTGCCATTTGCCATGTGTCCTGCCAGGGTGGCAGCATGACCTCTGAGATGGAATTCCCACTGCATCAGCAGCCCAGGTTGATGTCTTGTGACCACTCAATGACTTCCCAGAACCTTTCTGTAAAATCAGCTGACTACCTTGGCCCTTCTCCCAGCAAACAGGTGTAAATATCACTACTACCACCACACCACCAAGGACTCTCTTGGCAGGGGTTTATGAATTAAATGATCCTTGGAGAATGATATGACCTCTTCATTTTAGAGGTCTAATTATGGTAAAATATTCTGAAAATGTAAAACATTAATCCTATACTCTCTAAAAGTAGTAAAACATAATTTCTTAAGCAGAAAAAAAAAAAGTCTAATCATTCCTTTGGAAGGCTAATCACTGGTTGCCTTTTAAAGATGAATTAATTATCTCAGGTTATTGAGCTACAGTAATTTCTAAAACACGGGTAAGAGGGAAAGAAAGACACAGCCAAAAAGAAGGAGTTAGGGAGTGAGGAACCAAGAGCTTGCAATTACAAGCTGAAGGGAGAAGCAGAGAGGTGAAAAATATAACTAGCAAGTGGGGGAATCAGAGATATTAATCAGGTAATATGTATTGAGCTCTAACTATGCTGTACTGTTAGGCAACCTGGGAAATCAGATTAGGATAAAATATGCCCTCTGCCTTAAGGAATATAAAAAGTGGTTGGAGAGACAAGGAAGGCATAAAGAAATGACACGCTAAATAATACCTTGAGATCAGTCATAAAGTAACACACAATCAACTGCCATTGTAGTGTATTTATGTGTATTATAAGCTCAGAGATCACTGGGGTAAAGGAATATGGGTATGTGACATAAGGAAATTGGAAATTTCAGCCCAGAAACTAGAAAAAGGAAAACAAAACTAACAAAAACACAAAGAGAAAGGACATTCAGAACTGTAAATTTACCAGCATCACACATGCCTGGCCACATTAGCTGGTTATTAAATAATAGTAGGGAATTACTCGCTATTCATTATGTTAGATTTACAACAATATTAGAGAGTATACTAAGTTTTGGGAACTATATCCCAAATAATCAAAGATAAAGTGTCATGATGTTGGCATTATATTGGTAATTGTTGAATTGAGGTGGTGGGCATATGGAAATTCACTGTACTCTTTGCTTTTCTGAATGCTTTATTTTTTATTAAAAAAATTTTTTTTGAGACAGAGTCTCTTGCTCTGTCACCCAGGCTGGAGTGCAGTGGTGTGATCTCAGCTCACTGCAACCTCTGCCTTCCGGGTTCAAGCGATTCTCCTGCGTCAGCCTCCTGAGTAGCTAGGATTACAAGTGTGCACCACCACACTCAGCTAATTTTTGTAATTTTAGTAGAGACAGGGTTTCATCATGTTGGCCAGGCTGGTCTTGAACTCCTGACCTCAAGTGATCTGCCTGCCTTGTCCTCCCAAAGTGTTGGGATTACGGGTATGAGCCACCGCACCAGGCCCCAGATGCTTTTACATTTTCATAATAAAAAATTTAAAAGATCACATCATTTAAAAATATGCATAAAGACTGAAAGGAATTAAAACAAAAATTTTGTCATTGGCTATGTTAGGATGATGGGGATGATGAGTGATTCCCTCCCTCCCCTTTCCCTCTAATGGAAATGTTCTGCAACGTGCTAATGCTGATTTTATAATGGAAAAATAATGTGTAAACTTAAAAAAGAACAGAGCTTGGCAGACTGGCCATAGATAAAAGGTGTTTGAAGAGTTTTGTGTGTTCATCATGGAAAGAGTAAAAGACACAGGTGAAATGCTGAACAGGAAGGGTGAGCCTGGAGCAAATCTCTGTCTCTGTAGTCAAACTCTGCTTTTTTTTTTTTTTTTTTTTTTTTTGTGAGACGAAGTCCTGCACTGTTGCCTGGGCTGGAGTACAGTGGTGCATCTCAGCTCACTGCAAGCTCCACCTCATGGGTTCAAGTGATTCTCCTGTCTCAGCTTCCCAAGTAGCTGGGATTACAGGTGCCCGCCACCACACCCAGCTAATTTTTTGTATTTTTAGTAGAGATGGGGTTTTACCATATTGGCCAGGCTGGTCTTGAACTCCCGACCTTGTGATTTGCCTGCCTCGGCCTCCCAAAGTGCTGGGATTACAGGCACGAGTCACTGCGCCCAGCTGCTTTTTTGAGTCTTAGGATGAGTTGCTGCTACCTCCAAATAATTTTAAGCCTAGACACAATGATTTGGCATGCAAACATCTTACATAGGGTGTTGCTTCAGAAGGGATGACAAAATGAGGGTTAAGTTGTAAGCTTTACATTCAGTTCTCTATATGTAAAATGACATCTAAGTATCCAGGAAGAGTAAATAAGCTCTGAAGTTTAGCAGTTCACAGCTCAGTGGAAGGATGAACTCACTTCCTCTTTTTTTTTTTTTTTTGAGACTGAGTTTTGCACTTGTTGCCCAGACTGGAGTGCAATGATGCAGTTGGGTCACTGCAACCTCCGCCTCCTGGTTCAAGCAGATTCTCCTGCCTTACCCTCCCAAATAGCTGGGATTACAGGCATGTGCCACCATGCCTGGCTAATTTTGTATTTTTAGTAGAGGCGGGGTTTCACTGTGTTGGTCAGGCTGGTCTCGAACTCCGGACCTCAAGTGATCCACCCACCTCAGTCACCCAAAGTGCTGGGATTACAGGCATGAGCCACCATGCCTGGTCCGCTTCCTCTTTTCTTATTCTCTCATACATATACACATAAGCTTAAAAAATTACTTCAAAACAATGATGGACAACCCATGGCTATGAAACACTATGTTCAGAGTAATTCCCAGTTCACATGAAAGTAGACATTGAGATTAAGACATTTCTTTTGAAATTTGCTTGAGCCACTGTTCATATAAGAATTAGAAACACTACTGGCACACACATGACAATATTTTCCCAGAATTTCTCAACATTCCATAAATATGTAAAATTCTGTAGAAAGAAAACTCTTAAAACTCACTGCAAAGTGTTCAAAATTGGAAACACACTATTTCCAGCTCCACAACCAACCTAAAATCAAAAGAACAAGCAAATATCAAAAAAGCAAGGTTAAATTTTTGTCACCAATGTCAGATTTTCTATTAAACAAAAAAACAATTAGACTCATTGGATCTCTGGGTTTAGTAGAGTTTGCTAAACTCAAAAGCAATGAAATAAATCACAGGAATAAACATTAAGAAATCTGACTATGGAAACGTTTAAAATTTTTATACAACAAAACCCAAAATAAACCAAATTAAAAAATAACCAATACTCTGTGAAGAAAACTGCAATATATATGATAAAGGGCAGGGCTCATTAGAAAGAAAAGGATAAGCAGAGAAAAAAAATGGACAAAACGCAAAAGAAGTACAAATGATTCTAAACATTTGAATTATGTGACCTACTTAGTAATCAAAGAAATGCATATTAAAACAAGGCACAATTTTTGTCTAACAAAGTGGGAAACATTAAAATAATATTTCAATCAATGAGGGTGTGATGAAACAGACATACACCATCATGGAATGGTATTAGTACAACTTCTTAGAAAGCAAGTGGGCAATATGTTTTAAAAGTATTAAAAACTTCATAAATTATGAACTAGAAAATCTAAGCTAAAACAATAAAAGAAAATGCAGCTAAAGTCTATACCCAAAGATGTTTGCTTCAGAAAACCTGAAAACAACTAAAATGTCCAGTAGTGTGAAAATAGATAGGTAAAATTATAGTACTCCACATAGTAAAATATTTTCTAGCCATGAAAATATAGAGAATTTTTAAAGATAGTGAAAACTGCTTATGATACCATGTTAAATAGAAACAAACAAAACTTAGAATACATGTACAGTAATAAACAAAAGAAGAAAAAGGTCAGCCGGGCGCCATGGCTCCTGCCGGTAATCCCAGCACTTTGGGAGTCTAAGGCGGGCGGATCACCTGAGGTCAGGAGTTCAAAACCAGCCTGGCCAACATGGCGAAACCCTGTCTCTACTAAAAATACAAAAAAATTAGCTGGGTGCGGTGGCAGGCGCCTGTAATCCCAGCTACTCGGGAAGCTGAGGCAGGAGAATCGCTTGAACCCAGGAGGCAGAAGCTGCAGTGAGCTAAGATGGCACCACTGCACTCCAGCCTGGGCAACAAGAACAAAATTCTTGTCTCAAAAAAAAAAAAAAGGCCGGGCGCGGTGGCTCAAGCCTGTAATCCCAGCACTTTGGGAGGCCGAGACGGGCGGATCACGAGGTCAGGAGATCGAGACCATCCTGGCTAACACAGTGAAACTCCGTCTCTACTAAAAATACAAAAACTTAGCCGGGCGAGGTGGCAGGCGCCTGTAGTCCCAGCTACTCGGGAGGCTGAGGCAGGAGAATGGCGTGAACCCGGGAGGCGGAGCTTGCAGTGAACTGAGATCCGGCCACTGCACTCCAGCCTGGGTGACAGAGCGAGACTCCGTCTCAAAAAAAAAAAAAAAAAAAAAAAAACCAAAAAAAAAAAAAAAAAAAAGAAGAAAAAGGTCACTAAAATGTTAATGGTGGTTAAATCCTTTGTTCGTAGGATTGGTGATAATTTATCTCCTCGTTAGCAAATTTTCTCTAATCAGTATACATTGCCTTTAAAATCAGAAAGACAGGGTTTAGTTGTAAAAATAGAAAACCAAGGTTACACCAGATTATAGCAAATTATATATCTCACTTATTTCTATTTCGCCTAAAAAGGGGTAATAACAAAGAGTAAAAATTAAGGCCAAAACTTCATTGGTACTTAAAACTAACCTCAGATTAAAATGAAAACAGACAATTTTTTTTTTTAAAAAAAGCACAACAAAACCAAATTTAAACCACAAGCTTAAAACTTGACTGATTAAAAGACATGAGTCCCTTAAATATTATTTATGCACCAAAGTATACTGAATGCTTATTTAGATTTGATAGTTCTCTACCGAAAAAAAATCTGCATTATCAATAAAGTAATACAGAATGTACAGTTTCAAATTATTTGTCACCTCCCATTTTTGTCCCTTAAGCACAGTACCTCTAGTATCCTGAAAGTGGCATTGCTACCGGGAAACAATCCAGTCTAGGTTGGAAAAATCAGATTCTGTTTTGCTTTGACCTTCTGAAGAGCCAGAACTTTTCTCATAATGATTTTTTTCTTCAGGCATAGTAGGACAGTGCATTCTTGAGAAACAATTTGTAGCACTCGTATTTACAAGATCCCATGATGATTCTCTCGCCTTCTCTTCAGGTTTTTGATCAACTGGAAGAATTTCAGGAAATTCCCTCAACAGCCAATTACGATCCTTGAAAAACTTATTCTTATGAATCTTGTAAAATGTGTCCCAGTATTTACTAGCTTCTCTCTCATACTTAACTAAAATAAAGAGGAAAAAGAAAGATTTATTTCACTATGAATTATATTTACTATTAGCTACTATCTTGATAATTAAATATTGTTAAACATATACATTATCATTTATGACAATTATATTTACTAGTGAATAACTTTAATATTATATTTTGATAAAAGGTTGAAACTACAGAGCTTTAATTCTCTCAAAATGTGTCAAAATGTGGGATATTTAGTCCTATCCCTGTAAATCTGCTTCTATCTTAATAGTTTAGCCAATTTTTGTGAGAAATATAATCATGGCAAACAACTTTCTAATTTTGTTATCTTTTTTTTTTTTTTTTGAGACGGAGTCTCACTCTGTCGCCCGGGCTGGAGTGCAATGGCATGATCTTGGCTCACTGCAAGCTCTGCCTCCCAGGTTCATGCCATTCTGCCTCAGCCTCCCAAGTAGCTGGGATTACAGGCCCCCGCCATTGGGCCCAGCTAATTTTTTGTATTTTTAGTAGAGACGGGGTTCACCGTGGTCTCAATCTCCTGACCTCATAATCTGCCCACCTTGGCCTCCCAAAGTGCTGGGATTACAGGCATGAGCCACCGCGCCCAGCCTAATTTTGTTATCTTAACAATCACGCCTGTAATCCCAGCACTTTGGGAGGCCGAGACGGGCGGATCACGAGGTCAGGAGATCGAGACCATCCTGGCTAACACGGTGAAACCTCGTCTCTACTAAAAATACAAAAATCATTAGCCGGGCGAGGTGGCGGCGCCTGTAGTCCCAGCTACTCGGGAGGCTGAGGCAGGAGAATGGCGTGAACCCGGGAAGCGGAGCTTGCAGTGAGTCAATCGCGCCACTGCACTCCAGCCTTGGCGACAGAGCGAGACTCCGTCTCAAAAAAAAAAAAAAAATAAGAAAAAAACAATCACATTGTTACCAATAACCTGTGTGGTTTTTTTAAAGAAAGGGCCTGGTGTGGTGGCTCACGAGGTCAGGAGTTCAAGACCAGCCTGGCCAATATACTGAAACCCTGTCTCTACTAAAAATACAAAAAGTTAGCTGGGGGTGGTGGCGGGTGCCTGTAATTCCAGCGACTCAGGAGGTTGCGGCAGGAGAATCACTTGTACCTGGGAGGTGGAGGTTGTAGTGAGGTGAGATTGCACCATTGCACTCCAGCCTAGGCAAAAAGAGTGAAACTGTCTCAAAAAAAAGAAAGGATAAGGGCTGGGCGTGGTGGCTCACACCTGTAATCCCAGCACTTTGGGAGGATGAGGCAGATGGACACTTGAGGTAAGGAGTTCAAGACCAGCCTGGCCAACATGTTGAAACCCCATCTCTACTAAAAATACAAAAATTAGCCAGGTGTGGTGGCAGACACCTGTAATCGCAGCTACTCAGGAGGCCGAGGGAGGAGAAATGCTTGAACCCAGGAGGAGGAATTTACAGTGAGCAGAGAATACATCGTCGCACTCCAGCAGACAACAGAGCAAGACTCCGTCTCAAAAAAAAAAAAAAAAAAAAAAAAAAAAAAAAAGAGCCTGGTGCAGTGGTTCATGCCCTGTAGTCCAGGTGACTCAGGAGGCTGGGGCAGGAGGACTGCTTGAGCCCAGGAGTTTAAGGCTGCAATGAGCAATAATTGTGCCACTGCACTCCAGCCTGGGCAACAGAGTGAGACCCTGTCTCATAAATAAATATAAAAAAGAAAGGATACCTCATTTTTAATGTATTTACAAATACAATTTCAGCATAACAAATGTCCTAATTGGTGATCAGACAGGAAATTTCAAAATTATAAACAACACAATTTAAGAGCTAAAAGGATCCATTGGAATAATTTACTCCAACCCCCTCTTTTTGCATTTGAAGAAAGGACCTAAATTCACTTGTTCTAAGTCCTAGAGCCCCATCACAGTGAATCCATGGCCATGTCTCCTGACTTTTGGAATCTGGAGGCCATCCCATAACTCCATTCTTCCCCCAACCTCCAAGGCATCTCTTCCCACTGACATGTCCCAAGATGAAGCCTTAAAGAAAATTTCTGATTCTCTTAAAACAAATATGCATTTTATGATGTCATCCTGAGGTCAGGGTTAGGTCAACAGTCTTAGAGCTTCAGGTAATTCTTAGCTTTCTGTCTCTTCCTATTTGCTCCTTAAATTAATAAAGTAACTCACTCTCTCCCTCATTTATTCAGCAAACATTCCTTTTATTTTATTTTTGTATTTTTAGTAGAGAGAGGGTTTCACCATGTGGGCCAAGCTGGTCTCGAACTCCTGATCTCAAGTGATCTGCCTGCCTCCACCTCCCAAACTGCTGGGATTACAGGCATGAGCTACTGCACCTGGCAAATTCCTTCCCCCGCCCGCCGCTTTTTTTTTTTTTTTTTTGTATTCTTGGGCAGTGCTACAGGCAACAACAATTTCTTGAGTGCTATTATGTAATAGACCTAATCCACGCATTAGAAATTACTTTAACCTACTGTAGACACATGCCATTTTAAAAGTATTTTCAAAGAATGCAAAAGCTTTCTTTCTAGGAATACAGAATAATTTCCAAGATTTGGTGTTAGGTGAAAAAGCAAAGTATATAACAGTGTCTATATTCTGTAACCACTCATTAAAATAAGAAGAAAATACACGTGTATGGTTACATGTACAATATTCATGTACACACACACACATACACACACACACTTGTAGAAGGTACAAAATACTTCTGGAAGGATCATCACATAATCAGTAATACTGGTTGGCTCTAGGGAGAGGAAAGGAGTGGCTGGGGATCACAGTTGGAAGGAGAATTTTCATTTGAATTTTGATCTATGTGAATTTATTATATATTCCAAAAATAAATTAAACTAAAAATAAAAATAAGAGATGCATTTCCTTCACAATTTTAAAGAAGCCCCTACTCTCAGAACAAGCAGTTGCCTGTAATCAGGTTCATCTTTGTTACAAAGACCTGTCCTGAGGCCCTTATAGTTTTAATTTTCTTCTTTCCAATTTTATCTTTATGGCCTTGTACCATGGATCGCCACCCATCTGGCCACAAGACTTCCTTCCCATCAAGACTGAATTGTATCTGGCAGCAAGACTGCTATAAAGACTGAAACTCCCATCTGTATTTAAGGTCTGAGAAATGAAAGTAGATCTCTGTAACAAAAGAATTATGTGATGTTAAGTCCAAAACATGCTCACCTCTGCACTAATGGAAAGAAACCTATTTATGGTTAATCTAAAACTATATATTTGTCTTTTAAATATTTCTATCTCTATTTTCCTTCTTTTTCAATAACATTGGTATATCTCCACTTTTAAAAATTGGAGTATGCCTGATATACTGTGTAAGAAAACAAAATGACACTCTGAAAATCAGACTCAGGAGAAATTATAAAGGAGTCAAATTTCCCCAGGGTCTTCTCAAGCCTTCCCTTCTTCCTTTACCTTGAAAAAAAAAAAAAAATCTCTTTGTAACTCATTCCATGCAGGTAAAAGATTTTCTGCCTAACAAAAAGCAGCCACCTAAAAAGACCTATATTTAGTGAAATCTATAGTATTTGAGTTTACAAGATCAAGCTACCTGTGAAGTGAGTTTGAGCCCAATTACCAGTAACTAGAATGTACTGTAATACTCTATCTTGATTAATTTGTGGGAATATTCCTGTAAGAATTAAGTGGGGTGGGAGAAGTGCAGGGGAGTAACCTAATAAAAGACGTGCATAGCGGCCAGGCGAGGTGGCTCATGCCTGTAATCCCGACACTGGAAGACCCAAGCAGAAAGACTGCTTGAGGCTAGGAATTAAGATGAGCCTGGACAACAAAGCAAGACCCTGTCTCTACTTTAAAAAAAAAAAAAACAAAAACAGAAGATGTGTATAGCAGTTCTATTTATATTAGGAAAAAGTGAGGAAAACTCAAATGCCCAACAACATGGGAATGAGCAAGCAAACCATGCAGTTCAAAGAGGGTAACCTTATGTAGCAATTTAAAAATAAAAGATAATAGGCCAGGTGTGATGGCTCATCCCTGTAATACCAGCACTTTGGGAGGCCAAGGAGGGCAGATCACCTGAGGTTGGGAGCTGGAGACCAGCCTGACCAACATGGAGAAACCCCGTCTCTACTAAAACTACAAAATTAGTCGGGCATGGTGGTACATGCCTGTAATCCCAGCTACTCAGGAGGCTGAGGCGGGAGAATTGCTTGAACCTGGGAGGCAGAGGTTGCAGTGAGCTGAGATCACTCCATTGCACTCCAGCCTGGGCAACAGGAGTGAAACTCCGTCTCAATAAATAAATAAATAAATAAAATAAAAATAAAAAATAAATAAAGGAAAATAATATTAAGAGAAAATACACAGAACAGTATGTACATTGATGGCAGCTCTAAAATTTATTTTATAGTCATTCATAACAATAAGATGAAAATTTGAAGCAATGATAACAATTTAATCATTATTAGGTAGCTCTTTCTTTTGCAAAGCTGTATCTACTTCTTACACAAAGATAAAGAATCTTAGCTGAATTCTTCATTCAAATTGCCTACAGAGTTTCCTCATTTGATGAAGGGTTTGAATTAGAGTAGTATCTCTAAAGTCTGTTTAAGCTCTAAAAATTCTGTGTACTTTCCTATTAAGCCCCATGAATTTATGGAGAACATTAAACATTATCAGTTCTACAGACTACAAAATCTTGGATCAGATTGCTGTTTTAAACATGAGTCTGTACTACTGTTTTAATTTTTACAATTTAAAGAGAAAATGAATCTGTAGTGACGTGACTGCAATCTGGTTCAGAAACCAAACATGTCAAGCATCTAAATTCAACTCTAGCCTATGTAATCCATAAAAAGAGCTCGATTACTATTAGAAGACAATAGTCGGGGTTTGCTAATATACATATTTTCAAGCCTTTTCCAACTATTTCCCACTCAGGAATTAGGAGAAAAGAAATCAGATAATTACATAAATTATACCGATAATAGCATTAAAAATGACAACAATAACACATATTACATGTTTATTATGGGCTACGCACTATGTCAAATGCTTTACTTGGATTTTTCCCCCATTTAATCCTAGCAGTATCTCTCAGATAGATTTTATTATTCCAATTTGCAGAGAAAGAAATTCAATGTCAGAGGGAATAAAGAATTTCCCCAAGGTCACCCAGTCAGAAAGAGCAGAGTCAGAACCTAGCCTAAGTCTGCTAAACTCTAAAGCCCAGGCTCTCTCCCATTACACTACACTGCCTCCCTAACACAAAGTCAATATGAAACCCCTGAAAATCATCTCTGCTTTTCTGATTCATACTTTCTTCTCGATTATGAAGTATCAAGTTGAAATTAAAACCTCATTGTGGCTTACAGTGTAAATACATTGTAAAAATAATGCTGATTGGAGTTACCCTTCATTAAGATAGATCAGAAATACATAATTAATTAAACTCATACTTTGAATTATAAGAAATATAAACGATGCAAAGTTATATGATGAAATGATGAGCAACAGGAACATTAAATGCTCTATGAGAATATATGGGTTTGTGGGACAGAAACAAAACAGAGAAGCAGCACCAGAGTCTGCAATTTGGCTTTCAGCAGCTTCTCCAATCAGTGCTGACAACTCCATAGTTCCCATTAATGTGTGAGAGCTTCTGAGACCCCATGGCTTGGTCAATCATCATAATTATGATTATGAGACAACAAACACCTTCAGTGTATGATTTAATTTCCTGAACTGCAAGAGTATCTGTGTTAACAGGGGAATTGGAGGAATTACTGCTCTGACCATGAGTGAAATATTCAGTATTAAGCTGCTGGTAAGGCAGGTCAGTAATGATAAAATAATATAGTGTGGAGAAATCTGCCCTGTCTTCATCTTGTCTAACTGACTTTCTAAACAGGTATATTAATGACCAATTTTTCTTGGAGGAAAATTTTTTTTTCTTTTTTCTTTCCTAGGTTGGTGATTCAGAGTTAATTGCTTTATGCCAGTGGCAGTAAGAGGGATGTAGCGATCTGTTTAAGTACAGCCCAATGAAGCAAATTCTCAATTTTTCACTTATTAAATTCAATATTGCTGAGGGAAAGAAGGAATATGCACACTAACCATCCTTAAATATTCAGAATTCATTTTGAATCACACTGAACATCACAACTAAGAAATTGAATTAAACCATTTATGTATGACATAATATGATTAATATGAATTATGAAAATTTATTCTAGGTTTCCATGTAACAAAAAGCAATTTAAAGTTATTTTTGCACATCAATTACGCAAATACCTGAGCTCTCAAAGTTGGAAATTTCCACACATCAGTGAGAAAATTCATTGTCTAATAAAAGAAAACTCTTTAAACTTATGAAATTAAAAGTATGTTTCTAAGAGCACTGCATAAAATTTTAAACAAAGTCAGCTTATAAACAAATAACCTAAATTTATAAGCATAAAACTTTTAGCTACTCTCTCCATATTTTTTTTTTTCACATAGAACATCCTCTCAATGGTAAGATATTCACAAAGTGAAGTATAGTGAGACTCATTCTTTTGCTTGACATAGATAACTTTCCATAGGTAGACAGTTAATTACAGGATATTTTAAAGTAACAATAGCAGCTGCTTTTGTTATTCAGTTAAAAAGACTCATTATATTTGCTAAATAACTGAGATATGACACACTGGAGATATTTTTTAGGAAATTATAAAATATAATTATGTTAACTCAAAAATTGCCAAATGTATCTTTCATTTCTCTGAATTAACTTGCTTTTAAAATAAATTTGAGCTATAGTAAAATTGAAAATAAATTACAAAAAGGAAATGTGGAATTAAAAATCATTAATCTGGGCAATCTTATTGAAAGAAATGAGGGCCTGGATGCTATACTTTTTTTTTTGAGACAGGGGCTTACTCTGCGCCCAGCCTGGAGTGCAGTGGTGCAATCATAGCTCACAGTGCAGCCTCTACCTCCTGAACTCAAGTGATCCTCCCATCTCAGCCTCCCAAGTAGCTGGGACTACAAGCACATGTAACCACGCCTAGTTAACTTTCAAATTTTTTGTAGAGATGGGGTCTCACTGTTGCTCAGGCTGGTCTCAAATTCCTGGGCTCAAGAGATCCTCCCACCTCGGCCTCCCAAAGTGTTGGGATTACAGGTGTGAGTCACTGCATCCGGTCCTAGATGCCATATACATTTTAATCACAAAAATGAAATGTCAACCATCCTGCAGCAAGACTATTATTTGTGATGCATAATTTCTTACTTTCAGATTGTGAGAGTGTTTCCTGACTTCAGTTCTCACCAACAGCTGAGACAATATGTGAGAAATGGGAAATGGGAGTGACAGGAGAGCCTGAGACACACAGAGACCAAAAGAAATGTGCCAGAGAGTTGGCCAGCATGGGAGAACAACCAGTACTTCCTCCCCGTTGCATTAAAATAAAGTGAGATAAGATCAGTAAACAGTGCTTCTGCTGTATAATAATCTGCATATAGAATACTCTGTGATGGGACAACACTGGCTCTTTCAAAGACTTAGGATTGCCTAGATAAGAAAAGATGGTGGTTCACAGAGGCACTTGCCAAAGAGCCAAGTCACGGCTTCCTCCGGGTTCTCACAGTGTTTGAAAGTAGAGCTTTTAAACAATCTATTTGCCTTGACCCATATTCATCAGAGACATTAAATATCAAACCCGAAGCCTCACCCAGGGTGCTGCAGACTGGCACGTCTGTGATCCCTAGCAGAAACTGCACTGGATGGCTCTCACTGTAACGTCCTGCCACTCAACATGGTTCCTCAGAACAAAAATATTCTTCCTTTGCCACCCTCCGGGCAGCCTCAGTTATTGCTCAGTGCGCTCTTGCTTACATGTGATAAGATGGTCACCCCCATAATGCGTTCCTTCTCCCTGCAGTGGTCCCCTGAGAGGTATGAAGTCCACCACACTGAAGTGTTACAGAGGGGATGCAGAAGGGACCTAGCAGAAGCCTCTACCTCTTTGAGTCATTTTGAAATGGAATTTTTTGTTCTGTGTCTCCACAGCAGTCAGAAAACTTGCACAGAAAGAGACTGGACATACTAATAAGCAAATCAAATGCTTCAAAGTGGTATCATCAACCCTCTCCTGCCTGCTTTTCCTGCTTCTACAGAGAGAGGCCAGTCACCACCTTTCTATTTCAGTCACACTACAGTTCTATGGGAACTGTCATTTTCCTTTACTGTGGTTTCCAAGGCCCTAAAATAACCTTCTCATTAGCTTCACTCAAGTTCATTGTTAACATAAATAGGACAAAATAGGCAGCCACATACAGAGGACTTTAAGGGAACATTATCAGCACTGCTCATCTATTTATGTTCTAAACAGAAATATTCAAAATAGGGCAAAAAAATCCTTGGTTTTTCCTATTATCAGGAAATATATTGTGGATAATTTTTAACTTCCTGGAAATGAATTAAGATGGCTGACAACTTTTAATTCAGTTTAGGCTTGACTCTGTCTGTCACATCCAGGTGGCCACTAGCAGAAGCTTGAGTAATGCGGAAAATATGTCCGTGTAGCTGCTGGCAAAGAAGCAAAGTTATACTTCCTCAGAAACAGCGCGATAGAGTTCCTGCAAAGGAATGCAATATTGGCTGATTTGTAAGCAGTACTGCCACTGGTATGCACCCTCAAATCCAACTCTAATACTCCCTGGCTGTATTCCCTCAAGGACTTCATGGTTGAAGCTCATAAAAATAGAATGATGTCATTGTGGATCAGGTGCTCTTCGTTTTCTGTCCATCCTCCAGGATACAATAGGGAGCTTAGGAGGAGGATGGAGAACTGGCTCTATAGAATAGCAAATGATACCAGAAGATAAGATAGGTAGACACTGCCCTCTTCACTAGATAAGGGCAGCTAATGAGGGCAGTCTCATTAGCTTAGGCTCCCCAGCTACCACTGCTTCAAACTTTGGCCTCAATTTGTAGACTAAAGTCACCAGAACAAAAGTTAACTACCAGTGGGATTAGTGATCTTCCCTATACTTGGTTTACACAGAGGAATGCTAACATCTTTCCCTGGCGAGTTCCAGGACAGTTAATCAATCTAGAAACAAAACTGGATCTCAGGGGTTGGAAACTTTTTTTCTGTAATGGGCCAGATAGTATTTTAGTCTCTGTGGGCCAGTTGCAACAGTCTTTGTTGCAACTACTCAATACCGTGACTATAGCTCAAAAGTGACCACAGACAGCATGTCAACAAATGAGTGTGTCTGTGTTCCAATAAACTTTATTTACAAAAACAGGCAGCAGGCTGGATTTGGACCACAGACTATAGTTTGCTGACCCTTGCTTTATCTAATGGTTACACTGATATTGCCACAACAGTGACCAAAAAACGATGACCAGAACCAAGTTGTTCTGGCAAGACTAATCTACTGTATTAGAAGCCAGAATAGCAGCCCTTATGGGCCACTATTTGTGGGATTAGTGGGGTCAGGGGTCAGGGGGAGTACTGTAATTAGGAAGGAGCACATGGAAGCTTCTGGGTTAATAGTAATATTCTGTTTCTTGAGGTGGGTGATGTTTACATAGGTGTGCTCTTTGTGAAAATTAATTGAACTATGCGAGAATTCATTTATGAGTTGTATAAATTTCTGTGTCTATTTTATAAACTATTTTTAAAAAGAAAAAAGAAGAACCAATATGTTCCAAGGGAGAAATCATTTTAAGAAAAATAAGGCAGAAAGTCCTATGAAGAGAATATAAGAGTTGGGCAAAGTGTCTGTGGGTTCCCAGCTACGCAATGAGGATGACACAGGCCAAGTTCTTTTGTTTGTAGTGTGCTTTTTTTTTTTTTTAATTGTGATTTAAAACCACATAATGTAAAATTTAACATCTTAACTATTTTAAAATGTATAGTTCAGTACCGTTAAGTATATTCGTATTGTTGTGAAACAGACCTCCAGGATGTTTTTATCTTGCTAAACTTTAACTATATACCAATTAAATGACAACTCCCCCTGTTATGGAAAAAGTGTTTATGAAATAATATGAGGTTAAAAAAGTAGATCCCCAAATTATATATGTATTATAATTACAACTGCTTAAAATTATGTACACATTAGGTAAAAGTTCTAAATGGTGAACTAAAAACAATTATGTTACAACAGTAGGATTAAGAGGGAATTGTCTTAAATTTTCTACATTTCCCCCCTTTCCCGAGCCCTTGGCAACCACCATTTTTCGTTCTATGAATTTTACTACTTTTGATGTCTTAAATAAGTGGAATCATACAGTACTTGTCTTTTTGCGATGGCTTATTTCACTTAGCATAATGTCCTCAAGGTTCATCCATGTTGTAGTATGTGACAGGATTTCTTTCCTTTTTAAGCCAGAATATGATTCCATTTTATGTATACACCACATTTGTTTTAACCATTCATCTGACAATGGGCATTTTAGGGTACTTCCACTTTTTGCCTATTGTGAATAGTGCTGCTACGAACATAGGTGTGCAAATATCTCTTTGAGACTTTGCTTTCAATTCTTTTGCATATAACCCAGAGGTGGGATTGCTGGGTCATATGGCAGTTCTACTTTTTATTTTTTTAGGAACTTCCATACTGTTTTCCATAGCAGCCACATCATTTTACAATCTTTTTTTTTTTTTTTGTTGTTGAGACAGAGTCTCCCTGTGTCGCCCAGACTGGAGTGCAGTGGCCGGATCTCAGCTCACTGCAAGCTCCGCCTCCCGGGTTCACGCCATTCTCCTGCCTCAGCCTCCCGAGTAGCTGGGACTACAGGCGTCCACCACCTCGCCCGGCTAGTTTTTTGTATTTTTTTTTAGTAGAGACGGGGTTTCACCGTGTTAGCCAGGATGGTCTCGATCTCCTGACCTTGTGATCCGCCTGTCTCGGCCTCCCAAAGTGCTGGGATTACAGGCTTGAGCCACCGCGCCCGGCCTCATTTTACAATCTTGCCAACAATACACAAGGGCTCCAATTTCTCCAAAGCCTTGTCAATGCTTGTCATTGTCAAGTTTATAAAACATTTATTTTTATTGATATATAATAGATATAAATATTTTCAGGGTACATGTGATAATTTAATACCTTCTAATGAGTGTAATTGGGATATCCATCAACCTAAATATTTGTCTTTTCTTTTTTTTATTATTATTATACTTTAAGTTCTAGGGTACATGTGCACAACATGCAGGTTTGTTACATATGTATACAGGTGCCATGTTGGTGTGCTGCACCCATTAACTTGTCATTTACATTAGGTATATCTCCTAATGCTATCCTTCCCCCCTCCTCTCACTCCTCAACAGGCCCCGGTGTGTGATGTTCCCCATCCTGTGTCCAAGTGTTCTCACTGTTCAATTCCCACCTATGAGTGAGAACATGTGGTGTTTGGTTTTCTGTCCTTGCGATAGTTGCTCAGAATGATGGTTTCCATCTTCATCCATGTCCCTACAAAAGACATGAACTCATCCTTTTTTATGGCTGCATAGTATTCCATGGTGTACATGTGCCACATTTGCTTAATCCAGTCTATCACTGATGGACATTTGGGTTGGTTCCAAGTCTTTGCTATTGTGAATAGTGCCACAATAAACATACATGTGCATGTGTCCTTATAGCAGCATGATTTATAATCCTTTGGGTATATACCCAGTAATGGGAATGGCTGGGTCAAATGGTATTTCTAGTTCTAGATCCTTGAGGAATCGCCATACTGTCTTCCACAATGGTTAAACTAGTTTACAGTCCCACCAACAGTGTAAAAGTGTTCCTATTTCTCCACATCCTCTCCAGCACCTGTTGTTTCCTGACATTTAATGATCGCCATTCTAACTGGTATGAGATGGTATCTCATTGTGGTTTTGATTTGCATTTCTCTGATGGCCAGTGATGATGAGCATTTTTTCATGTGTCTGTTGGCTGCATAAATATCTTCTTTTGAGAAGTGTCTGTTCACATTTGTTGCCCACTTTTTGATGGGGTTGTTTGATTTTTTCTTGTAAATTTGTTTAAGTTCTTTGTAGATTCTGGATATTAGCCCTTTGTCAGATGGGTAAATTGCAAAAATTTTCTCCCATTCTGTAGGTTGCCTGTTCACTCTGATGGTAATTTCTTTTGCTGTGCAGAAGCTCTTTAGCTTAATTAGATCCCATTTGTCAATTTTGGCTTTTGTTGCCATTGCTTTTGGCGTTTTAGACATGAAGTCCTTGCACATGCCTATGTCCTGAATGGTATTGCCTAGGTTTTCTTCTAGGGTTTTTATGGTTTTAGGTCTAACATTTAAGTCTCTAATCCATCTTGAATTAATTTTTGTATAAGGTATAAGGAAGAGATCCAGTTTCAGCTTTCTACATATGGCTAGCCAGTTTTCCCAGCACCGTTTATTAAATAGGGTATCCTTTCCCCATTTCTTGTTTTTGTCAGGTTTGTCAAAGATCAGATGGTTGTAGAGG